CCAAAAGTCTTTTATATGGCAATATCATAACTGCTAATTCTAGAACTTTTGGTTAGACGGCTAATTATAATAATTTGTTTTAGTTATTACATCAATTAACCTTAATATTAATCGGTAAGAGTTTTTGTGATCGAGTTACACAAACATGACCTGAAAATATCTCTATATAAATATTTTAAGGATGGGATCCAAATATTTTTAAAACTGGTTCAAGTGATCATAAATATAAAATTAAGCATTTGATTTGATGATGTATATCATTCGCTTAAGTTAAATAAATCATAACGCTAAAATTTTCATATAGATTAATATACATGTGGTCCTAACTGATTTGTCTAAATATAAGTGACAGTTATAATCCAACTAAATTTTATTATTTTCCAAAATTACGCTTTTGTTTTTTGCGAACTTTAAAAAGCTTTTACCAAATGATTATATTGCATTGATGGACGTTATTTTCATAATCTTGGAATATCTAATGTCTCTTTCATATGTAGTTGGATGATTTTGTTTGTTTACTAAGAGCATCCACATTGGAGATATTTTGTAGGTGTCTTTAAATATAAAATTACTAAAAATTGAGTAAAAGGAAAAAAAAGAATATTTTTGGTTGAAATAATGTGGTGTATTAAAATATAAAATTAATAAAATTTGAGTAAAGAGAGGAGATAGTGGGTATTTTGGAGAGAGAATGTCTCGTGGAAGACAAAATTGGAGAGAGAATTGATGAAAGTTAGAGTATGTTTAAATATAAAATTAATAAAAGTTGAGTAAAATGATGAAAGAGAAGGTATAAAGTTTAGTAAAAGGAAGAGAGAGTGTGTTTTTAATATTTTTTTATTTAGAGATATTTATATTTTGTGTGCAACATGGATGACTAAAGCATTCATAAATATAACATACCTTACCAAAAGCATTCATAAATCACAGTCTACGGTTTTTTAAATTTTTGGCTCCTATTATAAAAAAACCTTCGCAAAATCGAGAGCACACATATCTGCAGTTTTGTTTTATATTAGCATCGTGATTTTCAATCTTCACTAACGTTAGC